GGTTAGACTATTGTTATTGCTGTTAGCAATGGTTAGACCTATTGTTATTGCTGTTAGCAATGGTTAGATCTATTGTTATTGCTGTTAGCAATGGTTAGACCTATTGCTATTGCTGTTAGCAATGGTTAGACCTATTGTTATTGCTGTTAGCAATGGTTAGACCTATTGTTATTGCTGTTAGCAATGGTTAGATCTATTGTTATTGCTGTTAGCAATGGTTAGACCTATTGTTGTTGCTGTTAGCAATGGTTAGACCTATTGTTATTGCTGTTAGCAATGGTTAGACCTATTGTTATTGCTGTTAGCAATGGTTAGACCTATTGTTATTGCTGTTAGCAATGGTTAGATCTATTGTTATTGCTGTTAGCCATGGTTAGATTAATTGTTATTGCTGTTAGCTAAAATTAGATCTATTGTTGTTGCTGTTAGCAATGGTTAGATCTATTGTTATTGCTGTTAGCTAAAATTAGATCTATTGTTGTTGCTGTTAGCAATGGTTAGACCTATTGTTATTGCTGTTAGCCATTGTTAGATTAATTGTTATTGCTGTTTGCTAAAATTAGATCTATTGTTGTTGCTGTTAGCAATGGTTAGACCTATTGTTATTGCTGTTAGCCATTGTTAGATTAATTGTTATTGCTGTTAGCTAAAATTAGATCTATTGTTGTTGCTGTTAGCAATGGTTAGATTGTTATTGCTGTTAGCATTGGTTAGATTAATTGTTATTGCTGTTAGCTAAAATTAGATCTATTGTTGTTGCTGTTAGCAATGGTTAGATCTATTGTTATTGCTGTTAGCCATTGTTAGATTAATTGTTATTGCTGTTAGCTAAAATTAGATCTATTGTTATTGCTGTTAGCAATGGTTAGATCTATTGTTATTGCTGTTAGCCATTGTTAGATTAATTGTTATTGCTGTTAGCTAAAATTAGATCTATTGTTGTTGCTGTTAGCAATGGTTAGATCTATTGTTATTGCTGTTAGCAATGGTTAGACCTATTGTTATTGCTGTTATCAACCTTAGATCTTTTATTATTTCTGTTAGCCACATATCTACTCTAGTTGTAATAGCCTACTGGTTATCAACAGCAAAAAATTTTCCGAGTTTACTTTAAACAGTAACTTTAATTTATTGCCCAATTTACAGAGTACAATGTTTATAAGAGGTGAGATAAAGTTACAAATGTTTTTTTCTTGCAAGACGTACATGGCATTTAAATTATTATACCGTCAATTTGGTGAAAAAGTTAAATGATGCTGGATATGATATTCAGAAGATTTACAATGTTACTATAGGTGTATAACATGGATGTGATATCACAATCTAATATCGCATCTGTTAAACTTTGGAACTCACTCCCAGCCTTAATTAAACAGAATTAAACCTTTTACCTTATCAATATATTTTTTTTCACATCAGATTTGTTTTTTTCTTTCATTTCCTTCTATAAGTTGTATTAAACTATCTTGGAAGTCCTACCTATCTAACTCTATTTTAATCGAATTATTCTAATCATTATTTAATCATTTAA